ATTTTCTGGCTTCAGTTGGGGAAAGGAGGTCGGGAATGACTAGGGATAAACTCGGCTGATGTGAGACACAAAACAGAGCCTACATTCGGATCTTGTATTTACCTGGCTCCTCATTTCAGTCCTTCACCCTCCCACACCCTTCAGCCAGGAGAAGAAAATTGTGAATGTGGAACTTAAAGCATCCTATTGCCTCATTCTCCTCTAGGCAATGTCCCCGGACCAAACAAGTGCCTGAATTCTGATTCTCTTAGAGATCTGTTCCTTTCCCATTTAGCACACAAACTGGGAGATAAGACAGCACAGGGTCTTGGATTTGGGGGCCACAGTGTCATTAAATCAGGGTGTTTCCCCCGTGGTTCTTAGGGTGTCTTCAATCAAGTAAAAATCCAGGCCATCTTGCCCCACCAATCAGACATGCCCAAATAGCAGCTCTTTGGGGTGCTTGTTGCTCTGGGGCCTTCACTAGTCATTTATGACACGATTCCAAAGAACATGAACCTTCCCAGGCACTCCCAAAGAGGGAGTCACCTGCTCAGGAATTCAGTGGGGTCCCTGATCAAGTAATAGAGAAAAATTTCCAGAAAAGAAAACTGATTTGTAGATATACTCCTACAAACAGGTTTGGTTGTATATAACAAGAAGTAGATGAACAATTTAATGAGACTTTCAAGTGATAAAAAAAATAATAATTTCAGAGCTAGTCAGGCTGTCCATTCAGGCCCTCAAATTCGAGGTCCTTGGAGGTGAGAAGCGGGGATGGGGAGGCAAGCACCATAATTAAGAAAGTCCATGCATTTAGTCTCTGTGTGCTAGAGCTTCCCCATGTTCTCTTACCTTTTTCTTGCTTAGATAACTGAGTTCAGTGATTTCCTTGAAAGACTACATTTCTCCAACCGTTCTTCATTATGCCAAACTTATCTTCCTAAAGTACAATATGAGTCATTTTATTCCTCTTCTCAAAAAACTGTAATGGCCTGTTTTGTCTATAGGGGTGAAAAAAAGGTTCAAACTCTTGAATATACTTTGGTCATAAACAGCCTCTTCCAGGTTTTCAATACGAACAGGTAACATCTAGTGGGAAGCCACTGGCATGATGATCAAGAGACTTGGAGTCACAGCTTTGCCACTAACTAGCTATGAGATCTTAGGCAGTACTGTGTCATTTCTAAGCTTTAGTGTTCTTTCTAAAATGGGGATGGTGATAGGACCGAACTCACTGGGCTCTTACGTGGGTTCAGCGAGAAGGAATGAGTCCCATTTCCCACCTTGTGCTGCCACTCTAGTGGATTTTCTGTTTCCCATCTCCCACTCACAGTCACAGCTTTGCTGCTGATGTTTTCTCCACGGCACATGTCTTTCTCATGCCAAAACCCTCTGCCCAGTTTCCCCTTGCAGAAACATTTTTCAGAATTCCAGTCTGGGCTTGAATGCCTCTTCTGATAATGTGTCCCTTGGCCCTCCCCACCCCCATCAAAATGTGTACCTCTTTGTCCATCTCTACACGTCTCTATTATCCCTTCGCTCTACTTCACATCACAATGTGTAATTCACATATTTCACTCTCTTTTCTCCTGAATTATATACTAGCTGAGGTTCCTCAAATGCCAACTTTCACTTAACTTTTCCTCCATTCCTAGCACCTAACAGAACGATTCCATTGTAATTACTATCCCACTCCTTCTGTTAGTTTAGGCCCCCAACCTTTAGTAACTTTCATAATACACCATGTGAGAAAATGTTGCCTAACCAAATCCTAAATATTACCTTTACTTTAAAATTATTTTTCCCTAAATATCTGTGGCATAGTATAAAAATCCCACTGATAATTTAGTTTCCATTACATTATATGAGAGAAAAATTATTCTCTTATACTTACAGATTCTTAGCTGAGATTTTAGCCTGTTTTCTTTGTTTGTTTGTTTGTTTTATTTTTTTTTATTCTTATGTTAATCCCCATACATTACATCATTAGTTTTAGATGAAGTGTTCCATGATTCATTGTTTGTGCATAACACCCAGTGCTCCATGCAGAATGTGCCCTCCTCAATACCCACCACCAGGCTAACCCATCCTCCCACCCCCCTCCCCTCCAGAACCCTGTTTGTTTTTCAGAGTCCATCGTCTCTCATGGTTCGTCTACCCCTCCGATTTCCCCCGCTTCATTCTTCCCCTCCCGCTACCTTCTTCTTCTTCTTTTTTTTTCTTAACATATATTGCATTATTTGTTTCAGAGGTACAGATCTGAGATTCAACAGTCTTGCACAATTCACAGCGATTACCAGAGCACATACCCTCCCCGATTTTAGCCTGTTTTCTAAAGCACTGCTACCTACAAGTGTGGTCTGAACCAGCATAGCTAGAAATTTAGGAATGCAGAATCTGAGCCCATCTCAGAACAATGCAACCCGAATATGATGGATTTACACATTAATGTTTGAAAAACAGTGCTCTAAGACACTCCCTAGAACCACACAGAGCATGTTTTACTGAGCATCTGTCTCCTTCTAACAAACATTTATTGAGCACCTGCTATATGCCAAGAACTATACTACATGCTGTGATTTCCTCTCCAAGATTTCTTCCAGGATGACTCAAGAATATACGAAGAAGATTGTTGGCTTCTTTTGAACTGTTTTCCTGGCGAAGTCAAGTAGTTGTGATCAAAAAAGCTGCCAGTTTCATGGAGATACAAAACCTCTAATCTTAAGTGATTCCATTTCTCTTCTTTCTGAGTTCTGACACAGTAATGTCTCTAAATCTAAAGTTTAATGCTTTCTTTTTTAAAAAGATTTATTTACTGGAGGGGGAGGGGCAGAGGGAGACAGAGTCTCAAGCAGACTCTGGGCTGAGGCGGGGCTCCATCTCAGGACCTTGAGATCATGACCCCAAGAGTTGGACACTGAACTGACCACGCCACCCAGGCACCCCTTTAATGCTTTCTTAATATGTTCACTCCTTCCATTAAGAGCTAAAGAAATCAAGGGGGGAAAAGGCATTGAAATTAACATTCCACAATAGAGCTTAAAGAACACATTTTGCTTGCCTTAGCCAACTTACATAAAGTTTTGCTTATAGGAATAGTCAAAAAAAGGTTTTAAGCTTGAGGAAAGCTCAGAAAGGTGACTTTTCAAAAGTAAATGTTGGGATATTCCTTTACAGAGTGATTTTTCTATGAAGAATAAAAAATGTGAACTCAAACATGCAACATATTCTCAATATCCTGTGGTGTACTTGAAAAAAAGAGCACTATATTGAAGTGTCCTTTAAACACCAGAAGATACATGATAAATAGTGTACACTTCCTTTTTATTAACCAAGGGATACTCCTCTAGAAAACAAAACAAAACAAAACAAAAAACCTTCCCATAATACTATGCAGCTCAAAGGGCTGAAAAGCAGACTCAAATGAATGTTAAGAATAGCCTGGATGAAGCCCTCCAGGGCCCCACTATCAAAGCCCAGGGTGTTTTTCTTATTTTGCCTCTGGGCCAAGATGTTTCTGTGATTATTGATATGCAAAATTCTCATATCATTAGAGACCTTATAGTATACCATGAAAAAGTACCATTTGAAGGAGTAGGGAATATTGCAGAAAGCAGGGGAATGAGTTTGTGTGCCTACAAGCCCCCGGGACTTGAGGTTTTCTTTTAAAATGATATTTCCCAATAGTGCCAACTGCTCTCTGAATGCCCCAGGACTTCCATTTCATCTGTGAAAAGGGCATCCTACCCACAAAAACTCGCCCTGCCCTATGGGGGTCCTGTGAAGAGCAAAGGGGACAAAGAGTTTGAAAGAAGGTTCCAGGGCGCCTGGGTGGCTCAGTTGGTTGGGCGACTGCCTTCGGCTCAGGTCATGATCCTGGAGTCCCGGGATTGAGTCCCGCATCGGGCTCCCTGCTCAGCAGGGAGTCTGCTTCTCCCTCTGACCCTCCCCCCTCTCATGTGCTCTCTCTCTCAAATAAATAAATAAAATCTTTAAAAAAAAAAAAAAAAAAGAAGGTTCCAAACACCTGAGTAATACAAACATGTTATCATTATTCCCTCTGTAAAATGGGGCTAAGTGGTGTGTAAGTAAATCTTCATTATATAACAGTTGAAACAAACCATCCTTGAGGTTGTCATCCAAATATGAGATATTGCACCTTCCTCGGCCTCCTTACTCCCCCTATTTCTGCTGCCTCTGTGGTCTATTGAAAATGTAATACATTCTATGCGATTGTCGTGTGTGTGTGTGTGTGTGCGTGTGCGTGTGTGTGTGTGTAGGGGAAAGACGCAAGGAAAGAAACCTCTGTGGCCGTGTTCAACATCTGAGCGCTGGCTGCGTGGAAGGCCGGAGGAAGGACCCGTCTGAGGTCCCGGGACTGGCCCCCGCCGGCAAGCTCCCCCGCTCTGCGGTCCGCGTATTGGTGCCTGTCCCCCTCCACCCGGGCGGGAGTAACGGAGGGAGGGGACTGGGCCGCCGAGGGGTGGGAGCGCTCGGAGGGGCAGCCCGGGAGGGCGCAGGCCAATCGCAGCGCGCTCCGCCAGCGGCCAATCACGGGCCGCGTAGCCCAGCGAATCTGCCCGGCAGTGCGGGGCGGGGCTGCCGGGAGTCCGGGTGCCGCGGGTTACACTTCTGAGCGCCTTCGGAAAGCCACAGGGCAGGGGGAGTGTGCGCCGAGAGGCCGGGGAGGAGGAGTAGGCAGGCCCAGCTTCTGTGCCAGCCCAGTGACACACTTTGAGGCATAAATCTGGCCGGCGATGCTGCGTCCGGGCGCTCACGTGTGTATAGACCCACCGGCTCGTCCGTACGCCGTGTGGGCACCTGTCGTGTGAGTGGCTCTGGGCGTGGCGGCTCGTCGGACGTTCAGTTTCTCTAAGATTTATCTCTAGGGGCCTACCTAACCCCGGCTCCAGAGGGGAACCTAAGAAGTTTAACGGAGCCGGGTCTGAGCTGATTAAGGGAGTGGAAGAGCGGCTGGGCCGGAGAGGGTGGGGACTGCGGGTGCTGGGGGTGGGGGGCGCGGGTAGGGAGCCACCTCTTTGCCCCGTCTCCCAGGCAGGAAGGTCTTTTGGCAAGACTGGCTTGACAAAGATGGCCCTGGAATGTGTGGAGTCCGGGCCGTGATGATCACTGAGTGAGTGGCACTGGGCTCAGGCTGGGCAGTTTGTTGACTGACAAAGAGGAATGCTAGCAGTTAGGAAGGTGAGGAGGAAACTCAGGATGGGGACCATCTGCTCCCCCAACCCCAGCGGGACAAAGACATCATCGGAGGTCTGCAATGCCGACTGGATGGCCTCGCTCCCCCCTCACCTCCACAACGTCCCCCTTTCCAATCTGGCAATCCCAGGTACTCTTCTATTCCTGCTTGTTCCCACTGTGTTTGCTTCTGCCATTTTAGTGTTGTTATTATTAATGGATTGGGTTGCTTTTCTGTTGTGCTGAGAAAATAATTGTCAGTGACCTTACTAAACCTTAACCAAAACTTAACCCTGAAGCAACTGCTGTGAACAGATTTAAGTACACTGCCTCACTGACAAGGGGGACTCGGGAGCATGGAAGCACCATTTTTTGTTTGTTTGCGTCTTTTTGTTTTGTTTTTACTTGGTAACCTCATTCTAAGAATGTTACCGTCTTAATGTTGGAACCAGGCCATGTGAGGGGTGCATGTACATGAATCGCTGAAAGAAAGAAGGAGAGATCAAGAGTAATGAATAAAAAGTCATTAACAATTTTAGATCTGGGTCAAAATTGAAACTGAAAAGTATTTTCTTTCTCATTCATCTGACCTTGCATATAGGAAAAACAAACAAACAAACAAACAAACAAACAAAGATAAGCATTAGAGAACAGGTTCAGAACCAGGACGGAGTATAAAGACACATATTTTTGCTGTTGGAAAAGCCAGAAATAGAGAATGCAAATGCTCATCAGAGGTCACAGGCAGTCATTAGGTGTGATGAGGTGGTGTTTGAAGATTTGTCTATATATACACAGGTGTCTGCCTGACTGATCTAGAACCGAAGCGTTGAAAAGCACTTCTGCTCCAGCCATGGTTTCTCTCCTGGGCGTTTTATGCCTTGGTATCACTCTCATTAAATTTGTTAAATGTGTCCTCTTCCTTCCGCTCAAAAGCTGGTTAAAGCATGGTTTCTAGGGAGAGACATTTGGACTACAGTGATCCAAGATCACTTGGTCTCCTGTGCTGGGCAAAGTCCCAGATGCCTGTACTTGAAAAGCACCCCTAGGAGCAGGGGATGGACGACTGCCAATGTTTTCTCTCAACTGGAGATAGAACAATTGCTCTTCGCCCCTAGACTACCAGACAAACTTGCAAGCATCCCTGGGAGCAGTCTGATTTTTTTGCGTGACCTCATGCAACCCAGATCTTTGCTTTCTATGCATGAGGAAGAGCAGAGCTGGCTTCAGATGCAGCCTTTTCCTTCCTCGCCTCTTCTTTTGGAGGTCGTCCAGGTGCATTGTCTTCATGGGCTCTTGCTACTTTTGAGCAAGGAGAGGGCTGCTAAATCTCTTGATAGTTACGATCACTTGTGTTTTATCAGCCATTGACTATAGTTCCTTGGGAAATGCCAGACGGTCATGCTTCAGAACAGGTCTTTTCCATGTTTAATTGACGCCTTTGGAGTCATCACTGAAATGATGCACAGGCTTCTTTTAACATTAGTCATTTGTCTTCAGGCTTTCCAGTGGAATTGTTTGGTCAGGTGGTATGGCAGGTAGTATGTGTTTGCAAACAGCATGGCATCTTAGGCAGGCCCTAAGTAACTTTGTCATTCAGGGCACGGCCAGGGTAGGTTGGGGCTTCCTCCTTCCTGTTGTACTTTGGACGGACAGATCACACCACAGCCCCAGCTCTGCCAGTGGCTTGGCTGGGTGCTCTGACACCGTGACCCCAGAAAGGAGCTGGGCATTTGTTCTGCAATCTATAGGGTATCTCAAAATTACTAGAATTGCCAGGGGAAGGGGGCAAACAGCCAGAGCCTGCTGCTGTGATTGGAAATGCTATGATTAGGCACCATGGAGGACATAGGAATTTTTTAACCCTGCTTTGTGAAGTGGGTCCTTCTATGCAGAAAACAAAAAAAAGGAAGGAAGAAAGAAAGAAAAAGAAAAAATGACCTTGACTCCTCAACATGCTGAATTCACTTCTGTGATTGTCCTTTTCCCAGCTGTGGAAGGGGCATAGCATATGTATATATGAGTTCAACACAGGAAAATCACATGTAAGTGCTAGCCATTTATGGCCCCCCCACCAACCCTGCCCCCCCCCCCCCGCCCAGTTTCCTTTCCCCTCTCTCAAGCTTAATATTCCCTAGCTAATGGCTAGCACTCAAGTTCTGCCAAGCCTTGCGGAGAAATTCTGAAATACAGAAGGCATTCAGGACGTGGAATCTCCATCATCTTCCTCCCCCATTTCCCCTCCACCTCTTCCCCTTCGTGATCGCCTTCAGCATAATAGTTCTTATTTACTAAGTGCTAACCTCAGTACCCACTGGCAAACACTACCTCAAATCTCTACACCTCCAAGATAGCTACTAACATCCTCATTTTGGAAATAAGAAAATTATTGTCCAGAGAGGTTGAGTAATTTTTTTAAGATCACACAAATAGTAAATAACAGAACTAACATTTAAGCCCCTATCTAGCTGGCTCTAAAGCCCATGCACTATCCCTGTGCCCCCCAGGGGGCCTTGGGGAGTGCAGAGCAGCTGTGTGTGTGTGTGTGTGTGTGTGTACTGGGGGAGGGGGTGGTAGTCTCTAACTAAAAAGCAGTTTTTACAGTCTGTCCTCTGCGGTAAATGAAATAATTTTTAAGATTAGGTGGTCTTTATCTGAGTGATTATATATTACTGTGAAGAGATAGATAAATAGATAGACATATATGTGTACATATTATATATCTGAGTAATATATATATTTACATGTTTACAATTATATATGTATATATGTGATATATATGTGTATGTGTGTGTGTATGTATATATACACATATCCCTGTTTATAATTGGAACGCAGGAAGTTTTAAATTCAGATTTATTGTTTAGACCAATTTTGTGTGATGTTTATGCCATGTATGTGCTCCTGTGTGCCAACCGATGATGTAGGGTGTCTATAAGATTGTGTCAGATCTGTCAGGATGAGGATGGGGCGGCATTGACCTGGGAAAGGTCAGAGAAAAAGCAGGGGTTCTGGCAAGAATAGTAGAACTGGGATGGAGTAAACTATGTCAAATTTGAGTGCATCTGCTGCATTTGCCTAAGTCATGATGGGAGAGAACAGGTGTGAATGTGTACCTCTCAACAAAGCCTTGATGTATTATTTTACTTGTACAACTGTTAAGAACACCTGTTAATGACTGGCATCGCCCAAACATATTGAAATATCCTGGAGAAGAACCTCAGAACAAATCTCATTGCCAACCGTTTAGAATGATTGGAGACCCCAAGGGTAAAGGATCTGGAATTGCAAAAGTCAGATTTTTAAATTAAAGCTTTAAACTCTACAAACATTTTCACTGACGTTAGTGAAAGCATGATATTCTTTATGGACAAATGGACTGATAGAAAAAATGTTTTCTATAACGTGTATAGTTTTCAATGAATTCTTTTTCTATAGTTTAGTGTATTTCTTTTCTTGTCTTTTTTTTTTTTTTTAGATTTTTTTTAAACCATGCTCTTTCCCTTTTTATTGAAGGTAAACTGTTTAGTCTGTTGGAGAGAGCCTTGAACTTAAGAAAGTTGATATTGTTGATTCTGGCTGTGTGATACTGAAGAAGCATCTGAATTTCTCAGGACTTAGTTTCCTCATTTGTAATTAAGATGTTGGATTAAATGAAATACAGAGTCTTTTCTAAATTAAAAATTCTTTGATTAATTGGAGGCTTTTTTATAAATGCCCATTCTTTGTCCAAATGTGAAAAGAGATAGAAGAATGAGTCATTTTAGATCTAAAAGCTCTTTCTTTTATGCCCCTTTAGAACAAGAAATTATTTTTGGCATGTGCAAACAAGTACTCACAACTGCCAGGATGAAGCAGGGTCCTCTCACTTTAGCATCCTAAAAGGAACTGTAGAATAATTAGTCTAAATAAACTGACCCTGAGTACATTTTAAGAAACGTCCATGCTCAGGCCTGGGGGAGACCCAAAGATGAATCAGGCATCAACCTTAGTATAAAGGAGCTTTCAATTTAGTTTTATATACAGAAATTACCATATATAGTTCAAAATAATTGGGGTAAATATTAAAACAGAGATACAAAGGTGTGATGGAAGCACAGAGAATAGAAAGATTAATTCCCGTTAGTTCCTACTTTTCCGATTAGGAACTACTTTGTTGAACAAACATGGCATTTGACTCAAGATTTGAAGAATGGTCAAAATTTCAAGGGATGTGACTAGGCAGGTGGTCTGGGTTGGAAGGAGACTTTCCTGATGAAATAAACCAGTTAAGCTCAGGGATGAGGGTAGATGGGAAATGGTTGGAGGACTTTCTCTCCTGCCTCTCAGTAATGCTTTGTTAATACCTTTATCATAGCACTTCTGAACACGTTATTTTTGGCTGTCTGACATCCATATCATCTATGAACAATTTGCATGCAGAGAGTATGTCTTATTTCTCTTTATAATCCTAGGTCCTAGTACAGGGTAGCAGCTTGGTCATTGGTGACAAGTGGATGATTTTTTTTTTTTTTTAAAGATTTTATTTATTTATTTGACAGAGAGAGAGACAGTGAGAGAGGGAACACAAGCAGGGGGAGTGGGAGAGGGAGAAGCAGGCTTCCCGCCGAGCAGGGAGCCCGATGCGGGGCTCGATCCCAGGACCCTGGGATCAGGACCTGAGCCGAAGGCAGACGCTTAACGACTGAGCCACCCAGGCGCCCCAACAAGTGGATGATTGAATGCGAGGGACCCAGAGAGTAAGGATGCGGGAGAGTGGCTCGCTTGCAGCCACCACCGTGTCTGATTGTGGTCAGGGCTAAACTGAATGGATTGATTAGGTTTACCTGGCGAAAACGCCGTCTGAAGCCACATTTTCCAGCCATCTCTTGTTCCCTCTGCATAGTATTCCCGTAGCTTTAGATAAGGCTCATCACTGAGCCCCACTGGAAGTGAAAATTCTGAGGCAGAGCAAAATGGTCAGGAGAGTCAGAAGCGGAATTCTGGTGTAACTTGTGTCCTAGGAACAATTCTTTCACCCTGCATCCTGTCTGCCTTCTCTCTTCCCTTGTCAAATGTGAGCTTCTCATGTTTCCTGCCTGGCCTCAGCCCCAGCCTGCTCTCATTTCTTGTTCCCCTCTTCACCTTCCTTCCACTGACCTGGCCTCTCCC